ATAGCAGTGCCTCTAGGCTTTCGAAGGTAAGGATTCCTGACCCTGCCAGGATATATGACACCAAGAAAAAAAAGTTGAGAAAAATTTAAATATTTTAATAAACAGAGCCAAGAAGACTTGAAAAATCAGTCCAAAAAATTAAGCCTCTTTTTTGGCTTGTTTTTTGTTTTTAAAATTATCAAGTAAGAGTGTTTCTCCCTAATTAACTAGTTAATTGCCCTTGTCTGTTTTAATCTATTTCTAATCATTTTATTTTATTTTATATTTTATTTTATTTTATTTTAGTGCACTTCCACAGAAGAGTAAAGCTTTGTGGCTGAGAATAAAGCAAATATGTATAGTCTATGGCTATTATTTAAAAATTTTAAGCTACCATCATCATAACCTTCTTTCATTTGAAGGTTGGCCACATTATTTTAATAAATGAGAGCATAGTCATAATTAAAACTGAAGCTTCAAGTAGCTGGCCATTTGTATAATATTTTCCTTTGTATGAAAAAGCCACACGATAGGAACGAACAAACTGACAACAGTACATTTTTTAGGCAAATTCCAGGATAAGTTAGAGGATCATAGCATTGTCTCACCAATCAGTCTTTGAGCCGTTTCAGAGTTTCAGTACTATAAGTGATAATCAATATCCATTATGACAAGCCAAACATGGTACAAGACGGTCAGTACTTTCTGAATTGCCACTATATTAGAATCATTTTAACTTGGCTGTATTTAATTGTTTTCTAATGGCTGTTAATCAGATTCCAGATAAATTGTTCGTTTACAATTGGTTGTTTGTGGTACTAAGTATAGAGAAGTCATTTATAAGTCTAAGAAGGTAAAATATCACTTGCAGGCTAACTGACAAATTACAGGCCACATATCAGAATACATGTCATCGTTATGTTTCAGGTAACACAGTTTACTCATGAATATTCCCAATAATTACATGACAGTGAATTTCGACTTCTCACATACCTGCTCTCACGCGGTAGGGTCTAGACCACAATCTACTTTCGTTCCAAACTTCCTTTTCTTAAGGTAGTATAATCTATTCTAGCTTCTTGGTACATTATCATCACACTCTGTTGATGAAATCAGGTGAACAATTTGAAGGTATTTGCTGAGTCCTAAGCAGGGCACTGTCACTCAGGAAAGCAAAATAGCATGTAATATATGGAGGACTACTGCATCACAGTGCTGCAGGGTAACAATCCGTTTGTTTTTAATTTTGTGGAATTTACTTTTGTTTTCAGAAATTATGTTAGACGATTTGAAAAAAAAAAAAGATAAAATTGTGTGAATCTTTGCCAAGGATAGCCTGCTCAATAAACGTAACAAATCATCTGAAACCTGTTCTATGTTTTTTTATAAAAGAACCACAGACCACACTGAAAGTCATTTTGACATTTCAGTATTTCAAATATTTTTTTAGCTGTATTACAAGGTGGGTACACTGTAAATATTATACCTCAGTCTCCTGAAGATTCCATATTTCTTGTAAAGGCTTTGGAAACGGTCAGGTTACTTGCAATAACCTGAAACTGACCTGCACTATACTGCAATAGGAAGAGACACTATTTTATTTATAGTCACCATCTCACACACATTTACTGTTTCCAGTCTCCTGAGAAGCACAGAAAACTGTCCTAAAAATTCAATATAGGAGAAAGTATATATAGATAACTTCCTGCTTAGAATTCTTTTTTAAAAAAATGCATAACTCAATTCAACTCAACAAACATTTACTGAACATTAACTCTAGTTCAGGTGCTGTTATAATAACATGAGGCTTAGTATTTTTTTGTTATACAAAACTCTTTACAAAGTTTTTCAAAATTCACAAAAAATCTTGATATTCCCTTTGGGAAGTTGGAAATAACCTGTTATCCAAATAAAGGGGGACATTTTCTTCTACCTCATTTCTGGAATTTCCCTGTGCAATCCTGGACAATTCCCACCTATTCTTTCTTAAAACAATGCTATTGTGTCTCTTTATTTATTTTTTTTTTTTGCGGTACGCGGGCCTCTCACCGTTGTGGCCTCTCCCGTTGTGGAGCACAGGCTCCGGACACGCAGACTCAGTGGCCATGGCTCACGGGCCCAGCCGCTCCGCGGCAGGTGGGATCTTCCCAGACCGGGGCACAAACCCGTGTCCCCTGCATCGGCAGGCGGACTCTCAACCACTGCACCACCAGGGAAGCCCTATTTTGTCTCTTTTAATAGTGTTTTTTTTGGTTTTGTTTTTGTTTTTTTAGTTGTTGAAAGCCAGGTAATTCACTGAACAGCTCTAGAAGGTGGTTAGAATTATGTTCAGATGTGCAGTCTTCTGCAGGGACCCAGGTTGTTTGGACTGGTGGGATCAGAGCAGGAAGGTGAGAACACCTCACTCACAGAACAGGGGAGGGATGAGGAGTAAAAGAATTTGGCACATGGCATATCCAGCTAACAGAGCAATCGTAAGGTAAACACCTAGGGAAGGTGGCAGAGACTTCTGTAGGAGTCAAGTCAGATAAGCCTTGAAAATGTACAGTGGAGGAAGGAAGGGGATTCAGGCCAAAGGCAGGAAAAGAGCTGGTGACACTCTGGGCACTGTCAGAAAGGCAGTTGTCCTGCTGGTTTCCGAGCAGGGCAGAGACAGTTCTTAGGCACATCTCCCAAGGATAAAGGTTTACAGAGGATGCCAAGAGGGGGGACCTGCTTATCCACTAGTCCTTGTATATGTACAAGATATGGGATAGGGGGTCACAGGCAGGGAAAAGGAGGGAGGGACTTTTAAAAAAAAATATAGGAGGAGGAAACTCAACTGAATTTTAGTTAAGCTCCAAATAAATTGTATACCTTTTGATCTTGAAGTACTAAAACTTCTTGATCATACCTGTTCATTTCAAACCACAGAAATTGAATTCACAATTATTAGTCTATAGGCCCTGTAAGGTATTTTTACAGGACATGGCTTTTCATTTTTAATGTCACATGTACAAAGTTTTAATATTTAAGATTTTGTGTAGATTTAAAGAAATAGTTCTACATATCAATTAATAAGTCCCCTCCCATTGTAAATTTCCAGGGAGATATATTTTGATTACTAGTAACTTAGCCTTTACGTGAAAACATGAGATAGACAACTAAAACATAGTTTCTTTAGTAAGTCCAAAATAATCACCTTTCCACATACGTGAGAACTACAAGTGGCTTTCATCTTAATTAGGTTTATAAATCAATGTCAATATTAGCTCACTTATAGAAATAAATGAAAATAGGTTTGATGTATGTTCATGTCTCCCTAAGGGCAATCTGCTTCCCTAATGATATCTTTAACAGACTTTGAGACATATTTAAATATACAATTTCCATAGCACCCATTTCATGGCAACTCAATAAACTAAGTTCCAGTCTAACTCATGAAATACTAGGTTCTTTCTTGAATAAAATTTTTCTGCTTTGATATACACAATAATTGGTTTGCATAACCCTACAATGTACTTCTTAGATGAAACAAAAACTTTTTAAAGAGAAATTGTGGTCAAAGGATGGCATTTCATGAGCCTTTAAACTTTGCTACCTGATAAAGAGTACAGTAAAATCTCTATAATTAACCAAAATAAGAGACAGAAAGAGAGCTCCATTCCCCTCAATGGCTAACTCTATGAGTTTCTTAGCTTTATGATTCTTCAGGTAGTAGCTTACCTTTATATTTACCTAAAAAATAATTGTAGTTCTCAACGTAGAATTACAGGGAAAAGGAGACCAACTGAAGGGTTAAACGCCTGTTAAAAATATTAATTTGCATTCTAAAATCCCAAGACTCTGAGAAGACTATCTTGAGACCTATAAGAGCCATAAGATTTCTCAGTAACTGTAAAAGTCTTTTAAAGTTGCTCCAGAGATGGTTTAAACTAACCAGATGCATCAAAAATCACCATTCACCACACTAAAAATACAACAATGTTTTAACAACAAGCTTCTTATGATTCATAATTCTGGTAACGCTTTTAAGTTCCATGACATTTATTTAACTTCAAACTTAATTGAAACTACCTTACACAAAGGTCTTTTATAATTTCTTATATCTTTCAATCTGAGAAAATAATTCCTCCAACTGAGGAAGTAGAAGAGTCATTGTCTGTTTTTTCTATTGTAATGTAGATGAAGTAAGAATATTAGTTCTCCTCCATTAAAAAGCCAGAGAGCTCAGAAAGTCTACCAACTGACAGATCTGAACATTTTTCACTTCCTTCCAAATGATGAAAAATCACATCAGACAGGAAACACATTCTTTAGATTAGTGACAGGTGTAGAACAAGCACACAAGTCAGCCTTTATTTTCAGGGTCGGCAGCATGCTCAGCAACAGAGGGGACAACTCTTCCTTTTTATTGAAGTGACACACATTATATTATTCCTTCATCTACACATCACCAAGCAGAAAAGTTTCCAAGCAATAAAACTACTTGATCTTGGTTGAATGCCAGGGTAGTCTTAAAAAAATAAAACCGCAGTACTAAAGAGAGAGAGGAGGGGGAAGTGGTGGAGGACGATGATGGTGATGAATCCAGTTTAAGAATTTCTTTAGGAAAAAAAAAAAAAAAAGAATTTCTTTAGGAGGAAGGAGGGAAAGTTGTCTCCATTCTCATACTCATTTCTCCACAGAACAGTAAACTTATTTAGGAGTTGAAAAAATTAGCAGCTTTATTTAGAAGCTGAATGACTGAGATTATACAGCACAATAATATGGTTCATGAAGCACCTAACACTGCAGTAGAAAACGGGTGCTAGTGAAGTAAGAGTTTCAAAGGTAAAGATAAAAGTCCCACCCCCCTCCCAGGGTGCCCACCAAAAACGCATTTCTTCGTTCCAGTTTCTCTTCCCACCCACCCCACCCACCCACCCCGAGCCAAATAAACAGTAACGTCAAAGCTGTAAAGCTATGACACTACTCAAGATAAATTCTGGAAAATGGGAGAGTAAAAGAAGCCCTAATACAAGTTTGGATTTAGGACTTACCTGCTCTGATCCCAGTTGGCAGCGAAAAGGACTAGAATCTTCCTGCCATAGTGGTCCAGATTAGCTAGGCCCCCAGGGAAGCCATCCTTCAGTGCCTGCTTGATGCCCGGATCAGTGGCCTTGAAGCTTTTGAACATGTCCAGGTTCTGCTGCCGGTACTCAAAGTACTGGGCCAGGAGGCGGAAAGCCTCGAAGTGATGAAACTTCCTGGCCCGTAAGAAGCGTAAGATGAAGGCATCATCTGTGCGGAGAAAGCCAATGTCCGGCCTAGTGATGACCATATCCCTCACCTCCTGGATGTCCTGGTGCAGTGTGTCTGGGTTCTCATTGAGCTCCAGGCGGGCTTTCTCCAGGGTCTCAGGAGAGAGACCAGCCTGTAAATGAGTCATTGTTCTGCTTGTTCCTGAGCCCTGCCTTTCTCTTGCTGGCTGTCCCACTGCACCGCTGGCCCTGGTCACTACCACACACCGGCCTCCAGACCTCGCTGCTGCCTGCTTCCTCTTCTTTACAGGAAACGATTTGTCTTGGTGTCCAGTCAAGTACCCTGTTGCTACTGCTTCCCCACACCTTTTCTATGAAGGATATAAACTTCTTTGCCCACCCCCTAAAAACAATGTCCCACTTTAGTTCCCTTGTCCCTTTCCTTTAAAGAGATGTGGACCTCTGGCGGCCCAGCACTCCTCTTCTTGTCCTTTCTCTCTCCTAACAAAACACCCCTAACTGCACCCCGCACAGGTGGTGCTGATCTTGGTGCTGTCCTCTTCTCTTCCGAGATGTAACAGAAACAGCCCCCATGCACATCTCAGCCCCAGCACTGTGATGCTTCTGCGGTCCCTACTGAAGGATGCTCCTGCCAGGGATAACGATGGAAATTCTGATTAATAATAAGGCGGCTCTTCAGCGCGGAGCTCAGGGCGGGGGAGAGAGCGTCTTTGCCAGAAGGAAAAAGAGAGAAAGAAAAAGAGGGGGGAAGGAGCTTATTTCTCCTTCTACTTATTCAAAGATGCTATTTCTAAGACATTTGTGGGATTCCATTTAAAATGACTGTGATCCAGTTAGGCGGAGGCTCTGCAGATAGCGCACCTTCCCTCCTCCCCTCCTGGATGCACCGTGATCTCATAAGGCACCAGAAGGGGTTTTGGTGGCGTTGGCACCAGCGTGGGCTCCCCCCTCAACCCCACCCCCAACTTCTGCCTTCCTCTAGCCCTTTATTTCAACGGACTTGCTGCGGAGAGGTTGGGGGGAGGGATCTCGCCGGGAAGGTACATTGCAAAGGCAGGATTGGGGGAGGAGAGGGTGGGAAAAAGGAGTGGAGGATAAAACCTTTTCTATAATACCCCAAAGCGAGAGAGAAGAAAGAGCAGCGGGCTCCTACCAGCAAACCCGGAGGCGGGGACGCTAAGCAAGGCGGCCCTCCCTGGCATCCATCGGCCGCGGCTTCGGAGGCGGCGGCGGCGATAGCAGCATCAGCCCCTCTCGGTGGGTTGGAGCGAGCAGAGAAGAGGGACGGCAGCTGGGACCCGGGCAGAAGACGCTCTGGGGAGCAGCCCTGACCACATCGTCCGCGAGCAGCCCGCTTCCTCTCCCCGCAGGAGGGGTGGGGGGAGCAGAGTTAGGGCCACCGGTGCCCCAGGTTCTCGCCCGGCCCTGCCATTCTCGCCTTCGGGAGAGGAGAAGGAAGGGAGCGAGAATCGAACGCCTGGATGGAGAAGGCCACGCGGGTAGCCGCCGCCTTTGTGCGCCCGGAGCCGCCGGGACCGTGGGCGCGGCGGGGCGGCGGCTGCGGGGCGCGGGCCTCACCCTGGGCTGCCCAGCGGCCGCAGTCGGGCGCGCCCCTCCGGGCTGCTGCTGCTGCGGCGGCGGCGGCTGCGGCTGCCGCTGCTCAAAGAGGACGCGGCTCAGCCTAACTCCTCTCTAATTATCCCAGCACAGATCTCGCTGCGACGTAAGCACTCACTCAGCTCGCGCACGCCCTCGGCTGCTCTCTCCCTGACTCGTTTGGGTAGGATCGCAGTTTCCGTGGCATTCAGATATCCCGAGCCCCAAGTTGAGCCGGCTCCTAGTCCCCACTGCCGGGATGGCCGCTCGGGCGAACATGGCCTGGCCGGGCGGAGCAGCGACGCCTTGCAGCCTCCCCACGCCCCGCTCTCACCCTTTGTGTGCGAGACCCCGGCGCTGCCCGGCGGCGAGGAGCTGTAGCAGATGGTAATTCACAGTGACACACATTTTCTAGTTCCGGTAGGAGGTAATTTTTTGATGTGGAAGGAGTACGGAAACATTGTGTCCTTTCCACATTTTGTTGTTGACAGAAAGGTTGAATTTGGTAAAGAAGACCAGAGTGGTTCCAAAGCATTGTGCTGATGATTCAGTCCCCGGAGGAACTTATATGGATAGAATTTCGACCATAAACTCTGGCTGCTAAATTCCTGTTGAAGAGGATGGAAATGAGCACGGGGTGGGGTGGGGGCGTGGGTGGGACCTGTTCTCAGAGGAAGGAAAAACAGGCGCTCCTTGACTTCCTTCTCATCTCATAATAAAACACACATTTCTGGAGATGCATATGATGGTTCCCTCCGTTTTATACATCTGTACACAAGAATCATCATAAATGAGCAGAAGTCTTTGAGCTTGAGATGACTGTCTACGGGTTTGAGAAAAAGCAATGTTTTCTGTTTTCAAAGGACAGCATGTTACTGAGCAAGCATGTCACCAAGAGCAACTTTTGGCTTACAGACCGTCGAATGGGGTCCTGAGTTCAGGTTAACTCAATGCAACAACAAATATTTACTGAGCTCCACTGTGTGTGAGCCATTGTCCTAGATTCTATGGATAGGTGGTCTTGAACATAAAAAAACATTGTCATATTTGATGACTATTAGTACCTTCAGATTACAGGCACACACTTTTTGTTATTGTTCTTAAGGTGATGGTGTTGACAAAGAGAAAGAAGAGGGATGGCAGACCTATACCACTTTATTAATTAAAGTAGTGCCAAGTAATGTAGGAACCAGAATAAGAAAATAAATTATACACACACACGAAGTCATTATCCTCAGGGAATTTACATTTTAAATGGGGGAGGTGGAAAACAAACCATATAGATGTATGTGTATTACATATATATGCACTATATGTATTCAAGGTCCTTCTAGGACTTCATGTGATTATGACTCTCAAAAGCATTCTGAATGCAATATGAACTGTTAAAAATTTTTGGTTCTCATTTCAAAAAAAAAAAAAAAGGAAAAATTCAGTTTAGACCAGTATTCACAGTTTCTAACTGAAGAAAAGGTCTTATATCAACTGTATAAAGAGGTTTTAGCCATCACCAATATGGAGAGACAGTTCTCCCGGGGTCTTGCGCTTCTGCATGTCTTATGAGCAAGGCACTAGCTATCCTTTTTTCGAGACTATCCTTTCAAGGCTGTATGCATAGTGAACAGCCTTGGAAGAGCCTTGGCAGCTGGAGATAGTACCTCCATCTGAACGAAGGGTAGGTTTGCTTAGAGCTTTAGAAGATAGTATCTCTCTCTCTCTCTCTTTCCTGAGCAAAGGGCAAGCAGGCTTATTTGGTTTCCTTCAACTCAGAGCTACTCTCCTGTAACGCCACCCACGGTGTATGTAAATATAACCTGACTTCTCTTAGGCTTGTGGGAAATGGGGCTCAGGAAACCAGCCCCAAATAAGCTGATGCTCAGAGTGCTTTTCTGCATCTGACTCTTTCATCTCTAACTCAGGAGTTGTGCATCCATGAAACTGTGGCCAGCTAACTTGTTAGCTTACAAATAGGGTTAAATCGCAAATCCTTCAAGGTGCTTAAAATGCAGTCGCTTGATTTTGTTCTCTGAGATGGAAATACTAGACTATATCTTTAGAAAGGAGCTTATAAAATAAAATTAAACTTGTTGGTCATTGGTATGGTGTGACCTATATTTAGTGATGATATTTTCATTATATATCAATAATAGAATTGCCTCAAATAAGGTTCATTTTAACATATCAGTATACGATCTAAATAGCTTCTGTTATGCAGTAGCATCGTTGGAGTTGGTCAGTTATATTTACAAACTATTCAGTCCTGCAATGATCCTACTTTTATTCTGTCTCCCTTGTACATTTGAAATCAAATTAAATATGTAAAGCCGTCTAAGGATTAAACAAGGTGTTTATCCAGATGACACCAGAGCATTTGATTCTCATTCAATATTAACTCACTTTGCCAAATTAATACAAAGTAATGTAGAAACTAGAATATGAAAATAAGTTAGTTAAACAAAAAGATTAATTAAGTTGTAATCAGAAAATAATTAAATCAAGGACTTCAGCTGTTTTCAAGCAACCTGAAAGGACAATTTGTTTTACTGCGGTATTTAAAAATGGATAGAGTGAGTGATTTATGCTTTAAAGCATTTTATCCCATTTGCTGTTCAATACAGTATACATACGAAAAGGGGCAAAAAACAAGATGTACAGTTCAATGATATATTACAAAACAAACACCTGTGTAAATACCCACCCAGGTAAAGGAACAGAACATTGCAGGTACCCAAAAAAACCCCATCTCCTCCCCTCATAACTACTGGCCTCTCTTCCCAACAAAGAAAGCCATTCTGTCTTCATTTTGAAAGTAATGACTTCCTAGTTTTTCTTTAAAAATTTACAAACTAAGGAGCGATGCACTACAAATTAGTTTTTTGTTCTTTAAGTTAAATAAATGTAATCATTCATATGTAATTTTGTGACTGGCCACTTTCATTCAATATTATGTTTGTGTTTCACTCAATAGTATGATTCACCTATCTTGTTGCATGTAGTTAGTTCATCCATAGTCAGTGATGATGCATGGAATTTCATTTTATAAACAACATACTTATCAATTCTCCTGTTGATGGAAATTTGGGTTGTTTTGTACTTGGGGCTCTTAGGACTCATGATGTATAAACATGTTGGTACAAGTCTCTTAGTGCACATGGACATACCTAGGAATGAAATTGCTGGGTCTTGTGGGATATGCATCTTCAAATTCAGTAAACAATGCCAAATTATTTATATCCAAATGATTGCGCTATTTCACCTTCCCCCCAGCAGTGTATGAGGTTTCTCACTGTGCCACGGTTCTCATAAGTTCTTACTAGTGTCTATCATTTTAACTGTATTTTGATTGCATCCATGATCTGATCTTGAACAGGGGAATTGCATGGTGACTTTCAAATGCATTTCTATGATTACTACTGAGGTTAGCTAGTTTTTATATATTTGGCCATTTGTATAACCTTTTTTGTGACGTGTCATTTTAAGAATTTTGCCCACTTTTATAGCGGATTGTTTATTATTGTTGGAGTTCTTTATAGATTCGGAATATGAGCTCCTTGTCAGTTACACATGTGGCAACTATCTTCTTCCAGTCTGCAGCTTGCATTTTTACTTTCTTAATAGTGTCTTTTGATTACATAATTAAAAATTTTATTGTAATTTAAATTTTCCCCTATGAATAGTGTTTTTTGTGTCCTGTTCAAGAATATCTTAAACAGGTCACCGAGATATTCTCTCATACTACCTTCTAGAAGTTTTGCTGCTTTTGCCTTTCACATTTAGACCTGCAATCACTTGAGACTGGGTTTAGGGCACAGTGTAAGAAAGGGATCAACCATTGTTTTTTTCCTATATGAATATCCAGTTGACTCAGCACCATTTACTGAGACTGTTTATTGAAAAGACTATCTGTTTTTCCTGCTGAGCAGAAGGGCTACCATTGTCACAAAATAACTGTCCATATATGCATGGATTTTAACTCTATATAAATTATAAGCCCCACAAGACATCATTGTTTTATACAACTAATATTTCTCAGTGGTTCTCAAAGTGTGGGCCCCAGACCAGTAGCATTAGCATCACCTGGGAACTTGTTAGAAATGTAAATTCCCACCCCTGACATACTGAATCAGAAATCCTGGTGAGGGAGCTCAAAATGTCATCTGGCCAGCCTTTCAGGCATTCATAATTTACACTAAAGCTTGACAATTGTTGCTTTATATTTACAGACATATTTATTCTTTTTGTTGTTCTTCATTCCAATGTCATTGTCACAATGATCTCTATTGCGGTAGTTAATAGGCAAGATTCTTTCCTCCAGAGGTTTATCTTGTTTTGTTTTCTCTCTCTCTCTTTTTCTCACATATAGGTAGTAATACAGATAAGAGTATGGCCTTTAATAGCATTGCATAGACTAGGTGTTGCAGATGCGGTTGACAAATTCTCATTTCATCTTAGTGTTGTATTACCAGTGATATCACACCTTCACAGAAACCAGTAATGGGAAATTGATCCAGCTATCCTCCTGACGATACAAATGCTTCCCAGAGACCCCATTTGATACAGTGAGGGAGATTGTACTGCTCTCCCTTCTTTCAGAGAAGTAAATGTACTCAAGGAGGTGATTACATTAAATCTTATTAGCCTGACAGGTTTTATTAAATTTATAATACATATTATATATAACTATTTAAATTATTTCATATCACAGATCTATATTAAATTAATTGTTAGTTATTTTATTTTATTTTGCAAAGTTGCTCTCTACTTTTAAATAAGGCTTTCATAAAGGGATTTGCCTGGATCACTTAATTCTATGTGTCAATAGTTCCAATATAGCTGGGCAGGTGAAACTAGATTAAAATAATCATTAAGGACCACCTCAAGGAAAAACACTCCATAAAAGGTTTAAGAGGGTGTGTGTGTGTGTGAGTGTGTGTGTGTGAAGGTCTGATTGGATGTATATGAACCTCAGCTATTTTTAATACAATCAGCAGCTGGGCGCTCACTCCCTGGGCAGCAGCTTACTGTAAGCAACATTAATACCCCTAAAATGAGTCCCCCGAATATGAATACTAAAGAGTCTATCAGGGTGAAGATACTTCAATTAAAAAAATGTGGAAAACTACTATTTTGCTGAACTTCCCAGAGTTGTCACTTCTTAAATAAAGGCAGTGTATCCAGGCTTGTCAATGGCAGTGAACGTGCCTGTGACTCAATGTCCTCCTGCTGCTAGTGTCTCGTCAGTGGATAAGAACAAATTCAGTTCTGCTTCATTGCTCTTATTTTGAGGCATGTAATTTCAGTTCTAACATATTTTCATACCAACTGCTCAAACTTGGATTTCTTTCATTTTTGTTCTCCAAAATATTGAGAATGCTGTTATTGCACCGTATCTGTTAATAATCATCTAATAGGACCTGGGTT